CCAATACTATATAAACACACTGTGTTTAATCACAAGACTTTGCTTGGCATATGAAAGTCTATTCCAGAGCACTTCATCCAAATCCGACCAGGTTGGTAAGCTGCATTGTAACCAACCTGTACCCTGATCTATAAATTGATGTACGCAGTTCTAACACCGTGCCTCTCCCAGAAGTACAGCACTACTATTTTAAATACTACATGTTACAGGCAATTTTAGTGAGCTAAGAAGTATCCATAAACACACAAAACAGGAATTTCTAATTAAGGCAGTTCCATTATTCACAAGCAGAATATCCACCTGAGCATCAGCCTCTAATGTTGAGCAAGAGAGGGAACGAGTCTAGTACTAGAATGATTTTTGTATCACCTAGGCTCAGTCTTCTGTTACACAAGTACTTTTCAGACAAAGTCTTGCGATGGACTACTTGGGATGCAAACTTTTCTGTCTCTAGAGACTACAGTTTGCTAGTTTAGGAGGTCACATGCCTCCTAATGCTCAGGGCAGGCAAAGGAACATGTAAAGCTGGCCTCTGTCAGCCTTCCCATCTACCATCTAACCATGGAAAGGTTAAACACAATTCTGCAACTTGAAGAAGTGAGCTATAGGACTGGACTTAAAAATATAAGGCAGTACTTATATTTACATTACCAGCTTTTTGGATCAAGTGCTTGGCCTAACTGCTATCTGAACACCACCATAATTCTAAATTCTCTATCTAAAAATTTTTTAACAACTTATATCACAGGTAATATTAATATTTCAGTGGCGCTGTCAATGCATGGTTCAAAGTTTACTACAAATCAAATTAGCATAATGGTTGTTTCTTTTGCAGGGAAAAACTAATTTATAAAGCATCTTCTGTAAGAAGTCCTCAGGTGCTGGACAATCCTAAAAAATGCTCATGAATCCCATGAAAAGTTGCAGACAGATAAACAAAATTTGTAACTTTTTTCCCAATGATTTTGAGAAGCTGAGAGTTTAAAGGAGGTAAATTTTTTAGCACAATGGTTCTACCAATTAATACTTTCGTTTTTTAAAAGTTTGGTTGCCCATTGATCTCATGAGGGATGAATCCCTAAGGAAAGGGTATGCAACAGTAAGAGCCCATCAAAGAAAGGTCTCAAACAGAAGCTGGATCAGACCCATTCAGAGCTTTCCAAACCCCCACATTGGTTCTAAAATGAGTGTTTCAGTGAGCAAGTTCTCAACAAAGAGCAAGCAAAGCAAGCTGAACATGTCCCCACCAGCTAGAAGCCAGGCAGCAGCACTCTGAACACGCTCCCCATTTAGCAAGAAACCACAGTGCTTTAGCAATGAAGTCCTCATGCGGCTATTCTGAGCAGGGAAGCTGCTCCACTTCACTCAAAATGCTTAAAGAAATATTAATAGGGTAAAAAAAAAAAAAAGTCTTATGACTCCAACTTTAATCAACTGATTAGAACACCCACCAGAAGGCAAATAGATCCAATGCTGCTCAAAGCAAAGGAAGAACTCAACTGGGTCTTTCTGGTGACCACAGCAATCGCTAAACTGTTAGGGATTTCAGTTCCCCTCTTACTTCGTGAATCTATTGCTTCGTCTCCTTAATTTTTAACGTTCAAGTCAAATGAAACATTTCGCTTGAGCCTCTTCCATTTTAAATTTCAACACAAAACACCCTCAAATTGTCAACAAATTTATATCTGCTACATATTCTTCAGAATACTGTTAAATCTAACATTCAGCTCCTCAAAAACTCTCATTTTCTACAGTACATATTATAAGAAACCTGGAGATACTGAACCCATTGATCATCATGTTAATCCACTGTTGTCTCACTATTTCAACCTACTATGAACCTCACAGGACAGGACTAGGGTTTGGTAGGGGTTTTTTTTGCTTAGTACAATGCTAACGGTAGTTCAACAAAGGTTTTAGAACTCACCATAGGACATCAAAATTAAACTTAATACAGAAAAAAACAAGTATTACTTTGATGTAGCTTTCTCTATACTGTACTATTACATGTTTAAATATTTCTTCCCTAACAAACAAAAACAAATAAACAAAAAACCCACCAAAAACCCCATGTTAATTTGTCAGTAAAGCAGCATATAACCAAAGAGACATAATTTGCTGTTGCAGGGAGATTTCCTCTGTTTCTGATTTGTTTTGTTTCCTTTAATCTGACATAATAGTAACATAGAGTATGTTTGTTGTCCAAAGAGACACAAAGAGAACACATCCACATAAAACAAGAGTTTTTAAAAAAACCCACACCAAAACCCAAAGCATACACCATCAAGTGGGCAGGACTCTGGCCTGGTGAACCACTGCCTTTGAAAAGATGAAGGCAGAGCCTTCTCCATGCAACCTGTACAGCTCCAGCACTGCCGCACCACCCCACCAGGTCACCTTTGCTTTGTAGCTTATTGAAGGTTTCCAAAAACATCTTTTTAATCAAGGACCTTTTCAATCAAGCTGCCAGCCTGCAGATCCAGAAACAGCTAAATGCACAATCTGGTAACAAAAGTTGACTGCCATGGTAACTGGAGATGATATTTCTTTGAAGGTACCGTACCACAAGCTGCACGTTTCCAGCACAGATACAGAATGAAGCCTACATGTCCACAAATTACTCAGCTGAGACTGCTAATTTTTCCTCTGTGACTTGACTCAAACAAAATTCTTCAAAAGGTGAAAACTTAGTGAGCTAACCCAACGTCTCCGACCTATTTCTCCGAGGTGCAGCATTCCGAATACGCTGACAATTTCATAGAAAAGACCAAAAAAACAGTAATTGAAGAAAGTGCGGTTTAACAAAACAAGTGGCCTCAAAATGTTCCAAAATAAAACACTTCTAATTTTAAATGTTATTTATGTGAACCTCTTCATATGTTTAGCAAATGTACTACATTTTATGAAAATGCCAAAAGCAGTTTAAAAATAAAATATTTTTTCCTGCAATACTGTACGAAAACATCATTAATCACCATAAAAATGGCCTTGTTTTCTTTAGAAAGGATGTATCCCCATTTTACTTTGATGCATATTACAATCTGTTACATATTAAACATTGCGTTATACATGGAGTTAAGCAAAGTTTGGATTTTTTTTTCCACTGAAAAGAAATTTTGATATTTCGACCTTTGTTTTCAACCTGTATTGTAATAAAAATAAAGCTAAACTTTTTCATGCAATGAAAATTTTCTAAGATGTGACTGTTAAACAACAGCATTTCCATTTTTTTCAATAAAACTAAACTTGTCAACATCCTTCACTGGAATGAATCTATTCTGGTGCTCCAGCCCTCGGATCATCTTCGTGGCCTCCTCCAGACTCATTCCAACAGGTCCATGTTGTTCTTGTGCTGAGGACCCCAGAGCTGAAGGTCGTACGGCAGGGAGGGGGGGTGTCTCACCAGAGCTGAGTAGAGGGGCAGAATCCCCTCCCTCGATCTGCTGGTCACGCTGCTTTTTATCACTGTTTTGTACCACTAATAAACACTTGTTTAGAAACTAAAAAAAACAACTTTTAAATGGAACATCTGCTCAATTAAAGGCTCTTCCTTCCCACTCCTATTGAATTTACCTATATACAACACTCACATGTCACAGTGCTTGAAACAAAGCTTGGGTGTGGCTTGACCTCATAGCATCTACATATCAAAAGCACCACTGATGTATTCTATACAGTCAGTGGCTGACCAGCTGGTACGATATCCTGTGTTGTGAACACAGCTCACGATGCAAAGCTAAAAGCTTTCTTGATACATCCATACAATTGCTTTAACAAAGCAACAGCCAGAAGCAAGACATAGCAGTGAAGAACTCGGGTTACAGTTTTTATTTTATTATTTTATCCATTTCTCTTTTAAAAATTGGTTATGCTCCAGAGAATCTGATTTGACAGGCAGTTAAATAAATTCTGAAACAGCCAAGACAAGCAGACCGACTTCCTAATAAGATTAGTTTCTTCTGTTCATCAGAGTATGTTGGGGACCATGCAAGAAAGCAAAAATAGGCACCATTTTGAAAGAATAGAGCGTTGCAACATTTTGTATGCCAAACAGCTAATATATACACATGTACAACCGCCCCAGAAATTCTTAAAACATATAAAATAATCCCCTATGTCATGACCATCACAAAGCAAAACCGTTGATCAGGACACATTTTATATGCAAGGGTTGGCTCTCAAGTAAAATGGTAGCTACTGTTTAGTTAACCACTGCCTGAAAGACACCGTGGACGTTTGCAGATACACTGCTCATGTTCTTTCCAGCTGATGTTGATAACTATTTTAAGGTTAGAAAGCAGACTACAGGGGCTGCTTTGTGGCCACAGGAAAAGTAATTCAATCTGTGAGATTCAACCTGTCTTTGAAAAAATTCACCCAGATTTGCTTTTGCCTTAATTGTTTCATTAATCTCATCGACACTCCTTCATTGAACCTCTCGCCAGAAACCAGATGGATGAAGAGTTACATCAGGAAGTAAAAGGCAGAAAAAGACAGGTATGAAGCTAATCATTGAGTCAAACAGGGAAGCAGTGCGATATTATAAGACTGTGAGCAGAATGGGGACTTATTCCAGCACAGAGTGGGGAAGGAAGATTAGGATAGAAAGAGAGATGAAGTCAGAGGACAAACATCTTGAAGGGTCTTTTACTGCTCCCCAAGAGTAAGACCTAAACATTTCAGGAATTCAGATGTTATTGTAAAAAAATAATGCTTTGATTATTTCTTACAATCATGAATAGATTTATGGCTGAAAATAGTGGATAAGTGGCATACTGCTTGTCCTGAATTGTACTGGTATGTACTATGTTTCCCATTCTGTTTATTCCAGTGAATGCAAAAGCTTCATGTTAAACCCAAATCCTCCATCTTCTGCTAGAATTATTTTCCAGCAGAATCTAACTTTCAACTGTATGACATGACTCCAAATAAACAAAGCATCGTCAAGGAAAAGGTACATGTTGTATAATTACAGCCTGAATCATAGACTCATACAGTACCTGTGGATGTATCCACTGTGAAAAAAGAAGAAAATTCTCCTGGGACCAGTTCGTATGTGACAATGCCATATATTCCTGAATCTCTGTCTGTGGCAACAACATTGATGATCTCTGTTCCTGGCTCTGTGTGACTGCTGATGCTCGTCACATAGACAGCTTGTTCAAAAACAGGTTGATTATCGTTGATATCTTCTATCTCAATCCGAACAAAAGCTTGGGCACTCAGCCCACCCTGTTGGATAAATCAGAAAGATAAAAAAAAAAAAGAGGTCAATTTTAAAAGTGTACACAATAGAATGATGCATGCCTGGCTTCAGCCCATCATGAGGAAACAGAACATGCTGCAACAATCCTTAGCAATGAAAAAGTCTGTTAAAAACAACTTACGCTATCCGTAATACCCAAAAATACTGCATTTAGGCAAGCGACACGTTCAGAACAACTCCAGTGGGCTGAGTACACAAAGAAGCTCAAGTTCTTATGATGACGAGGGCGGAACACAAAGTTATTTCTGTTAATATTAACGAGCACTACACATATCAAATCCTTACTAGTCTAACCTCACTTGTTTTTACTGTCATCACCTACACACCACTTATTCCTTCACAGATAAAAGTCAAGGTTTTCTGTCCCAGAAACACATGCCCCTCATGTCAACTGTGGTGCTCCAGTAAAGTAGGAATAACTTCTTTCTATGTATGCATCTTTCAGATTTAAAAGCATGACCATCATAACAGCAAATATCAGGCTTTTTCAACTATTGATTAGGAACAGACTGAGAGCAGAGCAGTGCAGCACAGCCAAAAGCTGACCTGTCAGCCTGCTGCCTGCAAGACCTATCCTCACTTTACCAACCTGGCAGGTTCAAGCAGTTCTGCTCATGCAGCGTGTATGTGTGCCTATAGATACATACATATATTTGTGTATATATACATGTACGTGTATATCTCTCTATACGTGCGCACGTGTGCTTGTCTACATACCCACACCTTCACTTGGTGTACACACAGACAGAGCAATACCAAATTTGACTGAAGTACATAGTTGAAAATATTTTGTTGATCTAAAATTCATAATCAATTACATAAAATGATTTCCAGTGTGTTTGTGATTTTGCAGGGAAGGAGGTCTTGCCACGCTTTCTAGGGGGCTTGACTCAACTTCTCTGCTCTTGTTTCTTTTAGGTCTGGGAAAAGAGCCAGGCCTTGGTGGCAGCTTCAGCACCGTACCTCTTTGCGACCCCAGCCCAGCCGCTGCACTGCTCTCCGCACGGCTGAAGCTCCTGCTACAGATGCCCACTGAGAGCCCACCTAAACACCACGTGGGGAGCCACGGGACCACACAGAGCCTTGCTCTGCAGTGAAACTCGAGAAGCAAGGAGCAACTGCAAGCTGGCTTATCAAACTATGCTACAGCAAAATCATGATTTGCCATGGCAAAGCACCGAACTTTGTCACAATCTGGAAGAAAGACAATTCTGTGTGTGCCAAAGTGTAGACCCCGCAGGGGTTTCTGAGTGAAACAAACAGCAATTTACTTCTCAGAGGCACTGTCCCATGCTCCCTGCAGGCCCTCTTCCATCAGTTTGGAGGGCTTCATATTTCCAAGGTTATTTTACAGCTGTAACAACTACAAACATTTTAAAAAGAGACCAGCTCCGCTGTGGCACAGCTAACAGGGAATGCTGCGGCACTGACATGCACAATGGAGGCACGAAGCATACACATTATGTATAGCCCGCACGTGCTGTATGCAGTACATTAATGTGCAGATGGAGGAAGAATCCTGTGCTCCTCAGCCACACTGAGTGTGCTGACAATTACTCACTTACGGAAACTGCTGACACAGATCGGATAGAATCATAGAATCGTTATGGTTGGAAGAGACCTCAAAGATCATCAAGTCCAACCGTATACCCAATGCCACCATGCCCATTAAACCCACTACACCGCGTCTCAAAGCGCCACACCCAAACGTTTTTTGAACACCTCCAGGGAT